TGTGGGTGCACAGAGGCAGGGGTGGGGGGGGTGGCGGAGAATAAGACTCCATTGTTTCTACAGAGTCCTCAACTCCAGCCCTGTGCCTGGCCTTGCGCTTGACCCTTGAGGTACTGTAGTGAACATCTCCATCTTCATCCTCAAAGATCCCCTCAGCGTTTAGCAGGAGAGGCATTTAGACAATGGTGAGAAATGCAGCCACAGAATCCTGATCTGCCCGAGCTTTGGGTTATGAGCTCGGTTGGAACACTGCCCGAAGGAGCCTGGGCATCCCCAGCTTACATAAGGACAGGAGGAGTCCAAGAACCTCCTTTTCTGCCATTTTAGCCTCTTCCAGGAGCCCCCAGGGGTCAGGGGCAGCTTCATGGGGGGACTGCCTCCCTTGGCCCCCAGCTCTCTCCACTGGGTCCTCTTCTGGCTTGCTGCCTTTTGTTTTCCTGATTAGGTTTCTTTAGCAAGCCACTTGCATAAAGCTGCGAGTCATTGGATAAAAATGAGCTCCTTCCGCTCCTTTCCCCTCTACTGGGGAAAGGATGGCACGACCAGGACATGTCAAGGTGAGAGGTCCCTCTCAGGTCACTGTGGGGACGTGGACACCTGGTCAGGGCCCCTGACTGAGAAATCTGCTCACCTTGCTCTTCTGCTTCTCTGACATCAGGGAGGTGCTTGTCTCTTTGGATCCCAAATGAGGCTGATGAAATCTGCATTAGGGAGACACAGTGGACTCCAGGTCCTGCCATGATGGGAGAAGCAGTCACAGGAACTAGAAAGGTGTCCATGACCTCAAGCACAGTCTCTGACTAGCCAACTGCACTGGGCCAGGCTGAGGCTGCTGACGACCAGCCTCTCTACTTCTCCCATCAGCTCATTCCAGGGTGCTGGCATTTGAAGGATCTCACCTTGGGATAGAGCCAGAAGCAGGGCAGGTGACATTCAGGTGTGAGGTAGTCTGGTGTTGGATAGGAAATAAAGGGAGAGCAGACCTTTTGGCCAGGTTTTTGATCCCTTGGTATCCTGAAGTTTCCATTTCTTTTCTTTTTTTTGGTACCGGGGATCAAACTTGGGACCTTGCACTTGCAAGGCAGGTGCCAGAACCACTGAGCTAAATCCCCAGCAATCCATTTCTTTTCAATAAAGAAACAAAGTTGGTTCTAGCCCAGAAAGTAATGTGGTGTTAATTTTGGAAACTTCCAAACAGCTGGCTTGGCCTTGGAAGTACTTGTTTTTCTCCATCCATCCACCCATCCACCCACCCTTCCATCCATTTACCTACCCATTCATCCATCCACTCATCCAACTATCCATCCACTCATCCAACCATCCATCCACACACTCATCATTCATTTGCTCATCCACCCATCTACCCACTCATTCACCTATCCATCCACTCATCATTCATTCACTCATCCACCCACCCATCCACCCATCCACCCATCCTTCTATCAATTAAGAAGAAATTCTGAAGGCATACTCTTAGCCAAACATTATGTTTAAGCTCCAAGATGTGATTCTTTGTTCCATCTGCTCCAGAGAGGGATGCTTACTCCAACATTTACTGCTCCAGTGGAATTACAATTATAAAAAACACATACACTGCAATTCAGGTTTAGGATGAAAGCATTAATTTCCTGGTTTTAATTATTCAATAGAAATTAATGAAAATGTGAGAGGACTCTCCAAGGAGCTTCTCCAACCAGCAGAGGTGGGAGTGAACCAAGGAGAAGGTCATAAAGGGAGCCTAGATGCCAAGGCCTAGTCTACTCCCCAGCTTGGAGTCTGGGAGCAGTCCCAGGACAAAGACCCTCCAAATGAGGTTTGTCTATTCTTTCAGGGAGTGGGAAATGGGAAAGTATTGTGTGCCATCTGTGCCAGGAGCTGTGCTGGATGCTGGGGAGATGACAAGACCCAGCTCTGTCCTCTGGGGGCTCACAGTCCATTCAGGGACCAATCCATGTGGGACAGCAGGTGCAGCCAGTGTTCTGACAACACAGAGTGGGGGCTTAGCCAGCTGGGAAGTGGGCAGAGGTGGGGAAAGGAAAGGCTATTCTGGCAGGATTCGGAGGGCCTGTCCCTCCTAGATGAACTCAAAAAACTCTCTTTGAACACTCTCAGGTCCTGGTGACCGTTTGGGCCAGGGTAACTTACCAGTTACCCTTGGCACTATGTGACTTGTCCTCACTGTGAGTCAGAACCCAGAGAGCCCGTTTGTTTGTCCATGCCTCCAGGCCTTGGGAGAAGGGCTTTGAATCTAGAAGATGGGATTATGGCAGGGGGAGGGTGGGCAGCTCTGGGGCTTGGAGAAGGGAAAGAGTAGCTGCATAGGAGGTGGTTCCAGAAGAGGAGGAAGGAAGGAAGGAAGGAAGGAAGGAAGGAAGGAAGGAAGGAAAGGAACTTTCCCAGAAGGGGTGGTGCATGGAGACCATGATGTTTCCAAGAGCTCTGCCCCTGGATCCCTAGCAAAGAAGCTTCTCCACACTCATCTCAGCGTGAAGGATGGAGCTTTAGGTGGGCCCAGGAATCTTGGATGATGGCATTTCCATGGAGACCATGCAGGGATAAAGATGGGGTGGTGGGGTAGTCACTGGTTTGGCTTTAGCTGCACTAGACCCCAACTGCCAGATCAAACCAGAATGGGGTCCAAAATAGGCCAGTTTTCCAAGAAAGGGGGCGGGGAGGGTCACAAGCACCCTCCAGAAAAGACAGAGTTCAGTCAAGCTAGAATGCTAGGTAAGTCCCCTGCTTAAGCCCAGCAGGTGAAGCCACTTTTAAATCACCCATGTGCTCTTGTTGCTTGGTTCAATGCTGCACCTTTCTAAATCTTTTGTTGGGATGTTGCCTGACTCATGAAATGCTGATAAGAGCCAACTAGATCTTCAAACTACATTTGTTGAAATTTTGTGTTTGGACAGAGCACAGCTAGATGACCATCTGACTGCACTGTGCTGTCACCAGATCTGACTTCCAGCCTCCAGGACTGTGAGAAAGAATTTTCCATTGTTTCTGGTATTTGGGGGGATGGGGAAGCTGAGCTGACTAATACAATTGATCTCTATGTATTTCACACTGGTTTTCACAAAAAGGTGTAGAACACTTCCCAGGAACTGTGCATAGGTTTTTTCATTTACGCTGAGAAAGACTTTGGCCTGGGCACAGATGACTGCTGCAGGTCCCGTGGCAGCATCAGAGTTATCTCCATGCTTCGAGCTATTTTCCAGCCCTGTAAGTTGTGGCATTGGGTAATAACAGATGTGGCTCCTCTCCATATGAATGGACAGGAAGTGTGTCTGATAGAGTGCAGTGGATTCTTGTCCCAGTGGCCTGCTCGGCATCTATTTGTAAATTCATTTCAACATTCTAGACTTGACTATATCACCATGTGCTTTGAAATCTCCTTTGAACTGGTTATGCCAACTTGCAGTTTCTCTCATGAATTAATGAGTTAAATAAAACCTTTGACACATGTTCATTTTATATTTAATGGAGCCGTGATTCTACTTTTATAAAAAGTACCCTTCGATGTCTCACAATCCTTGTAGTGGGAATTATTATAATCTCTCATGCTGCAGAGGAAGATCCTGCGGCACTGAGAGGACACAGTTTACCTGAGGTCACGCAGCTAAGTGGGGAGGAGTTAGGATTTGGATGGTAGAATCTGCTCCTGCCTCTGGGAGGAAGTGAGCTTACACCAGAGGTGGCAAACCTATGCACGTGTGCTGCAGCAGGCCTGCAGAGCCCTGTCTTGGCACCCGAGCCCAGTTGACCTAGCCAAGGTTTGACAAATTATCAGCATGCAAACAGCAAAGATCACATTCGCTGCGCAAAAGCACACCAAAGGCAATCTTTTATCTTTCAATAAAAAGCTGCTGGCATCACTGAACGCTCTGCTATTGCATTTTTCTTTTAAGACAAAAGATGACAATATATAAATTGCTTTTCTTTCTTTTGGTACCAGGGATCAAACTCGGGACCTTGTGCTTCCAAGGCAGGCGGCAGAACCACTGAGCTAAATACCCGGCCTACAAGTTGCTTTTCCTAAATTAAAGCTTCAGGATTCAGGTTTAATTGCAGTGCCAGCACTTTGCGATAAATAAGTGGGTTTTGGGTTGCGGTCTGAGCACTCGGTCTCTAAAAGGTTCGCCGTCCCTGCTCTATACTATCTAAGTCACTAACCTCACAAAAGAGCTGCATTCCTGACAGATGAGAACAGGGAAGCCCAGAGAGGGTAAGCAGCTATCGCAGGTCACACCGTTCAGGACAGGACGGCTGCACGCAGCGGCGGTGGCTTAACAAAGGGTGGGGGAAAGCCATGACAGAAATCATGGCTAACATTTATTGTTTGCTTTCTCAGTGCCACAGATTCTGGCAAGTTTACACCCAGACGTCTCATTTACTCCCTCCATTGTTCCTACAATGCAGACGCTTTCGTTACACCGTTTTGCACAGAGAGACTGAGGCACTCAGAGGGGAAACTGAGTTTCTCTTCATCTCCTGGCCTATTTGGGGCTGCGTTCTGCAAGCTGGTGAGCATCCACCTGACCTCACAGGGGTCTTCCTTAAGATCAGGTGTGTGTGTCCCCAGACTCTCCAAACGCCAGGCTCCCGCCCACTCACACCGGAAGTCGGTCCCTTGGCTTCCGAGCAAGCGGCAAGCCTGATCTACAGGGCTGATCTCCCCAGTGGAGCTGGGCTTTGGGGCACCCGGCTGGAAAATCCACTAATGACTGTCGGGGCGGGAGCCCTGTCCCCCGGGCCTTGGCGAGGACAGGGGTGATCAGGGATTGGAGGTGTCCGCAGCCAGGCTCCTCCGTTTACCCGGACCGTCAAATTAATTGAAATGTGCCAAATAGCGGCCGGGGCCCCAAGCTGTGCAGACAGCTCGCAGCCAACTGCTGGGCTGATGAGGTGTTAGAGGAAGGCGCGCTGAGCCACCGCTTCATTTGCAAGGGAAATGACCCGGGTTGGGTGGGGGTTCATTTGCAATCTGCTGCCTAGAGGTTTTGATTAGCTGCGGAGAGAAAGAAAGGTCCCTCTGTTTTATGCATGAGGAGCTGTGCCTAAGGACTCCAGCCGCTTGGTGCCCGCAGCCCACCTTCTCCTCCTCCCAGCCGGGAAGGTAGAAAGGGGCCGGGGGAGGGTCCCAGGGGGCAGGATTTACTCCCAAAGCCCAAGGCTACCCGTCAGAGGTGAGGATGGAAGGTCTGGAAGCAAGGCGTCCCTCCTCAGCTATTAAGTGGCCCCCGGACTGGGGCCTGGGGGTGTGGAAGGACCGCCAAGAGGCCCTTTCGGGCTCCGGGCCCTGCTTCCCAGGGGCTCGGTGCATCGCCCCACACACCTGGAAACCCGCCGGCCTGCGGTTTCTCCCCTTGGCGCGCTACACCAGGCCCTGCCCCACCCCCATCTCCGGCACAGACTTTCCCTAAAGGGGGCCGAAGACACTGAGCGAGATGCTTTTGCAAAAGTTTTCAATCCTCCCTCCATTTTGGTGACAATTCCCCTTAAAAGACAATTTCCCTTTAAAAGGGGATCTCCTAATCCTATCCTCTTCCCTCCTTTCCCTCCGCCCCACCTCCTTCCTTGGGCTGCCTGGGTTTTTTCCATCTTCTTCCCATCTGCCTGGCCTGCCCCTTCGTGTCAGCTGCAGACGCGATTAAGCACTGAATTAAGCCCTCTCAGACAGCGAGGGTGGTGTGCGTGCGTGTGCGTGTGTCCCTGTAACTATGCGGCTATTTTTCCTAGACAGTGGATCCAAAATTCCCAGGGGTCCTAACTCCCTGGCTCTGGGAATGGCCAGGCTCAAGGCCTCCTGGACCCTGACCTCAGGCTTTGGGGCTGGGCTGCCCCTTGAAAGGTCGCCGAAGAAGGAGGACGCACGGACGTTCAAGCAAGCTTTATTGGGGGTGGCAGTCTGCAGCCTGCCGGGCTGACTCACAGAATGGAGACCAGCAACTGCATGGGCTGAGCTGGAAGCTTATATAGGGATCTTGCAGGTGGGAGAGCACTAGGCCATTGTGGGGGTGGGGGATTGGGGCTGGGGTATGTAGAAACAGGT